CAAACAAAGAATCTTATTCTCAAGAATGACACGTGGTCTGTAATAGAATAACTAATTGCATCAACATGAATTACGTCAATTAGGAATTCTGACCTGTGAAAACTTGCTGTCTCCAAACCACTTAATCCAGTGGCTTCCTGGATTTGGTGCAGAACGGCGAGCCTCCAGATAAGACACCACCTTTCCTGGCCACCAGTCAAATCCTTTGAGCTTGGCCCACACTAGATCACCAGTTGAGAAGCTAACTGGTGCTTCAACCTAGAAATATTTAGAAAACTATGGTGTGAGTACGGTGATGCTAAAACAGATCGGTACTTAAAATAACGTCCTTTTTTCACGAGGGTAGCACTTAATAGCCAGTGGCTAACAAACCTGTGCCCTCATTCCAAGATCGAATTGGAATTTAATAGTTGATTCTTGCAGAGGGAGGAAAACCGGAGAATCCGGAAAACCCTCGAAGCACAGGAGAGAACCAACAAACAACTCTACTCATATACAACACCAAACCCGGGGGAACTCTAACTGGGGTCGCATTGATGAGAGGCAAGCCCTCACACCGCTACGCCACCCATGCTTCCCACTTAATAGTCTCCTTCACAGTTCCCTGTACCATGCATCTTGAAAGGTAGCCATGCCTTATTGTATTGAAGTGGGACAAACAGTGAGTTTGCAATGATAGACACATGTGAATAATTGTCCAAGTAGTTAAATAAAGGTCTCTATCATTCCAAGTTCATTGTTCGTCTCGCGTCGATGCAAAGGCATGGCTGACCTTTCAAGATAGTGCCAGGAACTGTGAAGGGGACTATTTAGAATGTATCCATGATGCTTTGCAAGTACACTGTTAACGCTTCACTCAACAGTAAGAAGGTTGTTTAAATGAGTTTTGAAAGTAAAAAAATCCCCTGGGAAATAAGAACTTCTAAATTCCAAATTCATAATGAAATGATAGTGCCATAGGTTTGCTAACAAATGGCTATTAACTTCTACAGCCTCTGACAGGGAACCTTGAAAGGGACTATTTCATTGTTCTATAGGTTGTGGGCATCAGGAATCACTCTGGATTTGAGGCTATGCGCATATTTCAAGAGTCGGCAATGCCAGCAAAAATAGAAGTACCTTGATACTGCATTCATCAGGTATTGCAAAGCCATCATTTTTTTGGACTGGCACATCAACCTTTTGCTTCTTTGCTGTCTCAAGTGTTTTTGTTTGTGACTTGGGTTTTCTCTTTTTCTTTACATAACTATCACAGAAATTTAATCTTCTTTTGGCTTTGGATGGTCTTTTGGGACTTGTAACCTCTGCAGAAATCTAAACAGATTAAATGGGAGAAAATGGAATGAGGAAAATGGAAAAACTAATGAAAAACAAAACAGAGTTAATAGATTAGCCTTTGAAAGTTCTGCTGTTCATTGAGAGAGCAGTATATCACGTTATTGGGGGAGAGGTGGGTGGATAAAAATAAAAAAAGGAAATGGAAAAATATACACAAAGAATTCATCAAACCGTGGTTTTGTTGGAAAAATACATGATGGATTCCCCCAAAAACATCAACATATTAGGAAGGTTTTAAAAATTTTCTAGGCACTTAAATATGCTTGTATTCTCCATATAATTACATTATATTTTATTTTATAAAATATTTAATATTTAATATTTTACAAAATACATTTTATTTTATTTTCATATTTTAAATTTATTTCAAATTTGCTTTGGTTTAGCTTTATGATTCAGGGGCAGCGGAAGCTAAAAATCTTCAGGGGGGCACTGCAAAATCTTTGGGGGGCACTGAATATTATATTTAGCGCTATATGATAATGACAATGTTTTGTTTGATTGCAGATGCATGCGCCGTAAAACAATGACTAAGAACCAATATTTTTTGGGGTGAAAGGACCCCCGGTTCCGCCGCCCCTGTGATTTTATGAAATGTTGCTTAAAAAGGCCCCTAGTTTGCTCTCACATATGTTCTTTTATCAAACTGCCGCTAAGAAGCATAGACATTAATTTGTATGATGTTTTGAGACATAAACAGGATTGTTTGTTAGCAATCATACATATTTTTCTGGCGAAACCATGATTTGGTGGTTTCCATAGTAGTCGTATCATTTACAAAATGTCCAAAAATATGATGTAATTTCTGAATGGAAAAATTGATGTCACTGCTGTTGATGTGGCTTTGTGAGTGTTTTAATATGAAAGGTATACTAGCCCGTATAAACCATTTTCAAATTTGGACAAATTTACTCATTATACCGCTATGTTTCTTGATTAAATACAATTAAATTAAAACTAATACGATTTTTTTTTTCAAATTTGAACAAATTCACTCATTATACCGCTGTGTTTCCTTATTAAATTACATACAAATTCACTCAGAGTTATAAAACCTTGTAACAGTGTCTAAACATTCATGAATATCAATGGTAAAGTAAAGAATACATACACAACTTCATCAATACAAACACTTTGAAATTCCACCTTCACTGGAACACACGAATATTCTGCACAAAATCGAGGCCAACCCTGAGCAATTGTAGAAGTGCAAACATGCTCAAAACGGCCTCTTACAGATATTTCATGACCAATTTTTGACAGCTAGTTCAGGGTAATAATCACTTATATTTACACGTGAAGTCACACAACTCTAAGATGCTGGACAAAATGCAAGCATGCAGTTGTAAATATGAATAAACAAATGATGTAAAAACCCTAGATACTTCTAGTTTCTTCAGTAGAGTAGCTATCTAAACGTGAAAACAATAGGTAAAGGAGACCTTGCAAGTATGAAAGAGTTAGGTGATGAAATGACTATGAAAACAACCAAGTTTTAATCCAGTTAATGCACTCATTGGGTCTCAGATTTTACGAAAATGATATGTATATGTTATGTGTGCATGTCGTTATAACCATTGTGTTACTGTAACATCCGTTTCAGTGGAGCCCTGCTATTAATTAAATCGACATATGCCATGGATTCGTATTATATCAGGGTTGAAGGTCAAATTCCACAGATTCCTCCATATCTCTTTGTTTACTTGGTTACTATAAACTCTAGGATAGTTTTCTGATTCACGGTTGAGCAGGTTTGCCCTAGGGACCCCTCCCTCGTGTCATTCAGGCAATGTCCTTAGCACGTGGCGTTGATGGACGAGAAGAAAAGACCTAAAAATTCCATAAATTTGAAACCATCTTTGGAGAAATTTGTAGTAAAAGTTATCTAAAAATGCTGCTTAAATATAAGGTTTGTTTTAGATGAGTTTGCACGTGTAAGAAGAGCAATTTTTGCATCGTTTGCAAGATGTATCTGTAGTCCTTGCATGTGGAGCTCATTAAGCTTGTCAAACATTAGAATAAACACAATACAGGATCAAGACTAAAGTACTCAAAACACAAAGAAATGGCTTTTACTAAAGCTACCTTGTTTAGTTGAGGAGTAAGGGATTCTTGATTCAAAGGAGCTACCAGATCAGCCTTGCCGTCCATCATTACAGCCCAGAGGAAAAGAGATCAAACAGGCAGCGGACCTTAACTATATACAAGTCAATCAATCGATTGTAAATGTTAATTAATGTTTAACATAAATAAAAGATGGCTTTCACGCAAGGCGGGTCGATACATTAGTTCGTCTTTGGCAAAAGAGAAACGCGGTATTAGATTGATATATGATCGCAGGGAAGATATTGTTGAAAATGGTTACGTTTCACCGCTACCCTGTTTCATTCATACGACGCATAAAATACTGAATTTATGAAATTTTGACAGCTAAGGGAATACTACGTTACGGTTAGGTTAGGGAAACTTGCAAAACAAAATGAGAAATGAATGCAAATGAAATAAACTAAAAGAAAGAAGAAAGGAAAGAAAAAATGACGAGTTTTAATAAAACCACAAAAAGCGAAGTTAAAGACCGTCAGCGACAGCATAGGAGCTTAGAGTTAGTACTGTTCAATTTTTATTTCGAAGATTTTTTAGCCCAGACGTTCAGTTTTGTTCAGTGGGGTACGTTCGGCTAACGGGCAACGAAATCGCGCGACATTGTTTCAATTTTTTGATGGTTGTGAGAATATGAGTGCGATTAATTCAGCCTTTTTCAGGCTCCATTATTTAATGTAGTCTCCCTCGCATCCGTGACGACCGACACTAAAAAACGGATGCAAGAGAGATTATATTTAGAGTAGATGTCAGCAAAAATCAAACAAAATC